TACTTTTAAACAAATTGCCCATAATCATATGTAACATCCATTTTTAATAAATTGAAACAAATTAATTGAAAATAATGCAGTTTGTAGCAGTAATAGTAGTAGCAGTAGTAAGACGGTAAACAAAGAATAAATTTTCATGTAGAATATTTATGTTCCTCATATATATTAATATATATATATAATAAATTTTTATATATATATTAATATATATATATATATATATATATATATATATATATATATATATATATGTCGTGCCGAATATGTAAAATGGTCAATTAGCAAGAACTTCTTTAAAAATTTTAAGTCCTTTCTAAAAAATTTCTCTTATACGTTTAAAGATATATTTTTTTCCATTAATGTTAATGTAAAAAAAAATTAATTTTTGCACCAAAAGAATCTTAGAAAACTTACCTAACCCTTTTTATAACAAGAAAAATTTATTTCAGCCTAACCCAACTAAATATATTTTAGATTTGTTTACAGTAATTTTTAAAACTAAACAAACACAGTGAAATATATTTTTTTCGTTAGGTTCAGAATGATTTTGGCGAAATTATTGCAAACACAAATTTTCACTTGTCCTATTGGCAAGATGAACGTTGATATTTAAGCCAAGATTGCCAAATTCTGCCTATTCGCACGACATATATATTATATATATATATATTTTATTAAATATATAATATAAAATATATATATATATTATATATATATATTTTATATATATATATATATATATTATTATATATGTCGTGCCGAATATTAAACTGGTCAATTAGCAAAGAACTCATTTAAAAATTAAGTTCTTTCCCATAATTTTCTCTTATAAAGTTTAAAGATAATATTTTTTCATTAATGTTAATGTATTTCAATATATTTCTAATGGCCTCAGTCAGCCAGGGTCATTCATTTCTATTTCCTTCATGATGCTAGATAACTTTTAACATGTCTTTACCTCAGAACTATTGTAACATCTCTTCTCAGCCTCTTGCTTTCAGATCCCTTCATGACAGGAGAGGAGGGATGGGGGGAGGAAGAAGGGGGTCTTCGTGCTGTGGAAGGGCTTTAGATACGAAGAATTGGAGATGTCCCTCCCCTTCCCTGGTCCGAACCTGATTGCATCTTGTTAGGGCCCTGCACTATATGACCCCTATGAGTTTTTCGCTTCCTTTTAATGTAATAATAAAAATAATAATAATAATAATAATAATAATAATTTAAAAATAATAATAATAAAAATAATAATAATATAAATAATAATAATAAAAATATGATAATAAAAATAAAATATATAATAATCTAATAATAAATAATAATAATAATAATAATAATAATAATTAATAATAAATAATAATAATAATGGTAATAATAACAATAAAAATAATAATAATAACAGCAATAATGTAAATAAATAATAATAATAGATTTAAAAATAATAATAATAATAATATAAATAAATAATCTTACACTTCTGCTTAAACAAATATTTTGAAAACATGTTCTTATTACATTTACTGGGACAAAAGCGCTAAATCTGTAGAGTTATACAATACCTGGGGAATGGGAGTAATCAGATTTGACAAACAAATGGGGGGGGGGGGGAAAGTAGCTCCAAATTTCTTGGATCAAAGCTCTTCACTTGCATCTCACGACAGAATGTATTTCTCAAGTCAAGTTTACATTAAAAAACTAAGGAAAGAAAAATGTTCGTGAAAAAAAGTGTATCATGCATGATGAGTCGTCCAAAAGGAAAGAATATGAGCTTGTATTACTTTCATTTCAGTAAAATTTTCTTGCATTCTGGCGTGTTGTGTTCACTGCGCCGGTATATATAAAAAGGCTTCACACTCGGAATGAACACGGGCTTCACACTGGAGAAATAACAGGGGCTTCACACTGGAAAAATAACCAGGCTTCACATGGATATAAACAGGCTTCACACTGGAATAAACAAGCTTCACATCTGGAAATAAAACAAGCTTCCAATGGAATAAAACAGGCTTCACACTGGAAATTTAAAAAACAGGCTTTCACCTAGTTATAAAACAGGCTTCACACTCGGAAATAAATAAACAGGCTTAACTCTGGAATAAACAGCCTTCACACTGGAATAAACAGGCTTCACACTGATAAACAAGCTTCACCTGGAAAACTAAACAGCTTCACACTGGAAAAAAAACAAGCTTCACACTGGAATAAACAGGCTTCACACTGGAATAAACAGGCTTCACCTTGGTATAAAACAGGCCTTCACACTGGAATAAACAGGCTTCACACTGGAATAAACAGGCTTCACCTTGGTATAAACAGGCTTCACACTGGAAAAAAACAGGCTTCACACTGGAAAAAACAGCTTCACACTGGAATAAACAAGCTTCACACTGAATAAACAAGCTTCACACTGGAATAAACAGGCTTCACACTGGAATAAACAAGCTTCACACTGGAATAAACAGGCTTCACACTGGAATAAACAAGCTTCACAACTGGAATTAAACATGCTTCACACTGGAAAAAACAGGCTTCACACTGGAAAAAACAGGCTTCACACTGGAATAAACAGGTTTCACGCTGGAATAAACAGGCTTCACACTGGAATAAACAGGTTTCACATTGGAATAAACATGCTTCACACTGGAAAAAACAGGCTCCACACTGGAATAAACAGGTTTCACACTGGAATAAACAGGCTTCACACTGGAATAAACAGGCTTCACACTGGAATAAACAGGCTTCACACTGGAATAAACAGGCTTCACACTGGAAAAAACAGGCTTCACACTGGAAAAAACAGGCTTCACACTGGAAAAAAACAGGCTTCACACTGGAATAAACAGGTTTCACACTGGAAATAAACAGGTTCACACTAGAATTAAACAGGCTTCGCACTGGAAAAACAGGCTTCACACTGGAAAAAAGGCTTCACACTGGAATAAACAGGCTTCGCACTGGAATAAACAGGCTTCACACTGGAATAAACAGGCTTCACACTGGAATAAACAGGCTTCACGCTGGAATACACAGGCTTCACACTGGAATAAACAGGCTTCACACTGGCATAAACAGGCTTCACACTTGAATAAACAGGCTTCACACTGGAATAAACAGGCTTCACACTGGAATAAACAGGCTTCACTGGTATAAACAGGCTTCAAACTGGTATAAACAGGCTTCACACTGATATAAACACGCTTCATACTGGAATAAACAGGCTTCACACTGGTATAAACTGGCCTCACTTTGCCGGCATCACAGTCTTCACCTAATACCACAGGGTTTACACGGCCAGTAATCAAGGGCTTCACACTGCTAGCATCAGAAGCTACACATGGCCATCTCTAAAGGCTTGACACTCCCAACATGAAAGGCTTCACACTACCAGTATCAAAGGCTTCACACTACCAGTATCAAAGGCTTCACACTGTCAGTATCAAAGGCTTCACACTGCCAGTATCAAAGGCTTCACACTGCCAGTATCAAAGGCTTCACACTGTCAGTACCAGAGACTACACATGGCCACCATCAAAGGCTTCACGAGGTTTGAATCAAAGGTTTTACAAGAGATTTAATTTGTTTGTTTTTTATTTAATGTACTACTGTGAGTGTAACCGACCAGAATAATAGTTGCTTCCTTTGTCACTACGCTGGAGTTTATGTGAATTATAGCTGAGAGAAATATATATATAATATATAATATATAATATATATATATAATATATATATATATATATATATATATATATATATATATATATATATATATATATATATATATATATATGGGAGAAAGCCTGGGCCCACCAGATGTGAAATAGTTTCTACCAATCGACAGATGATTCAGACTATTAGTGCTGTTTTACCAGGAGCACGAGCCATTGATCCAGCCAATAGCACTCTCCTTGGCGCTCCTGTTGGGTCCAATGCCATCTATCTGATCCTACATTTATTGTCTTGTCTGAGGATGAGGTCCCCAGTAAAGTTTCTAGAGGTGGTACCTTCCTCTATATATATATATATATATATATATATATATATATATATATATATATATATATATATATATATATATGTATATATATATATATACATACATATATATATATATATATATATATATATATATATATATATATATATATATATATATATATATATATATATATATATAATATATTAGAATAGCTTACAGATATATGTAATCTCAGTTTTTTTTTTAGTATGATGCTGCATGTAACTCTAAGACATTATCCTAAACATCAGTGTTCCGTTCTAATTTATAATGTGGCCATGTTAGCTCCTATGTATAATGCATGGGTTGGTCATGTTGTCTGTTCTAGGTGCTTAGTAGTGTTTACTGATTACATTAATCTTTCTCAAGACTTTGTATTAGGTTGATAATTACATTGTACGCAACTTGAGTGTGTATTAAATAAACTCAGGTGTTGCACATGCGAGTTGTTCACCATGGGGCGAGAAGGCGTACTGCAGTGAACCTTCCCTAATTTTGTCAACACATTTATATGAGCACAAATCCCATAACCATAGCACATTTTCCCTTGCACTACTTTCTCTCAATTCAATGTAATAGTAACTTCCGACCCTGCTGTAATGAATCACTTGAAGCAGACGTAGTCATGAACCCATAATGGAATGTTTCACGATAGCAACCTCTATAATTAGATTAAAGTTAAGCGTCTCTGAAATGAAGATATGTTCATCAACAATATCTTCATCTTGCTCCTGAAATCTTCCATTTCAGGCTAACAGGGTTCATTACCTAATGTATGAATCCCATCCTGTATGATGAAATATGACATGAGAAACACAGGTAACTTTTATTCCCAGTATAATAACCATATTATAGCTTAGACTGACACTAAATTGATGTTTGCTCCAAGGAATCGGCGCGCCTCCAGAGGACTGGAATGCCTTCTCACACTGACTGAGCACACATGGGACCTCGTAACCCACTAATCCCTTTCATTCGCATCTTGCAGGTGTCATGGGTGAGGAACAGGGACGCACACATCCTCTCAGTGGACCGGTACACTTTCATCAATGATGCTCGCTTTGCTGCGTGGCATGAGGCAGTCACTAACACCTGGACGCTGCAGGTCAAGTTTGTCGAGGAGTTAGACGCTGGACGCTACGAGTGCCAGGTCTCCACCGAGCCTAAGATGAGCCACTTCGTCCAGCTCATTGTTGTCTGTGAGTATGGAGGTTTGTGCGGGTGTGTGTGTGTGTGTGTGTGTGTGTGTGTGTGTGTGTGTGTGTGTGTGTGTGTGTGTGTGTGTGTGTGTGTGTGTGTGTGTGTGACAGAGAGAGAGAGAGAGAGAGAAGGAGACTAAATATATTTTTTATAACGTGTCCTTATTCAATGAGCGATAGGCGCATTTTTCACTTCTTGTTAAAAAAAAAAATGGATTGGTGAATAGAGACAGGATTTTTGGTTTGAAAACCCAGAGATGATTTGCCCACAGCAGACCCTGCTTTGGAAGAAGAAGTAAACATGTCTAACAGGGAGGAAGGAAGGAAGGAAGGATGAATGCAGGTGCTATTGATCCTGGTTCTTATCATGGTAGTCACATTTTCACCAAATATAATTTCAAATTATTGCCCTGGATGCCACCCTTCACAGTACTCGCTCCCATTCTATTCCTCACCCTCATATCTGTCATAGACAGAGATGTGAGCCGTACCTCTGTGTCTTCCTTTGCGGCTGACACCCGAATTGCCAGGACAGTGACCTCCATCGAAGACACCGCCAGACTCCAAGCGGACATCAACCAGATCTTCAAATGGGCCACTCAAAATAATATAAGGTTCAATGAAGAGAAATTTCAACTACTCAGATATGGAAAACTTGAGGAAAATATAACTGTATCAGGGAACCTGGAGTTTACCTGGAGAGGGTTTCGGAGGTCAACGCCCCCGCGGCCCGGTCTGAGACCAGGCCTCGTGGTGGATCAGGGTCTGATCAACCAGGCTGTTACTGCTGGCCTCACGGAAGCTGACGTACGAACCACAGCCCGGTTGGTCAGGTACTGACTTAGGTGCCTGTCCAGTGCCTTCTTGAAGACAGCCAGAGGACTATTGGTAATCCCCCTTATGTATGCTGGGAGGCAACTGAATAGTCTTGGGCCCCGGACACTTATTTTGTTGTCTCTCAGTGTACACCGTGGCGCCCCTGCTTTTCATCGGGGGAATGTTGCATCTCCTGCCGAGTCTTTTCCTTTCATATGAAGCGATTTTCGTGTGCAGGTTGGGTATACAACAAATTTTAACTATACAGTAGAACGAAAAAGTAATGTGAAGGACCTGGGAGCGATAATGTCAGAGGATCTCCCCTTCAAAGACCACAACAATGTATCTACCGCATCTGCTAAGAAAATGATAGGATGGATAATGAAAACCTTCAAAACTAGGGACGCCAAGCCCATGATGATTCTCTTCAAGTCGCTTGTTCTCTCTAGGCTGGAATACTGCTGTGACACTAACTGCCCCCTTCAAGGCAGGCGAAATTACTGATTTGGAGAATGTACAATAAACTTTCACGGCACACACAAGTACGATAAAGCATCTAAATTACTGGGAACAGTTGAAGTCCCTTGATTTGTATTCCCTAGAACTTAGGCGAGAGAGATACATGCTAATATACACTTGGAAAATTCTAGAGGGATTAGTACCAAACTTACACGCGAAAATCACTCCCTATAAAAGCAAAAGACTCGGCAGGAGATGCAACATTCCCCGATGAAAAGCAGGGACGCCACGAATATATTGAGACACAACACAATAATTGTCAGGGGCCCAAGATTGTTCAACTGCTTCCCAGCATACATAAGGGGGATTACCAATAGACCCCTGGCTGTCTTCAAGAAGGCTCTGGATAAGCACCTAAAGCCAGTACCTGACCAGCTGGACTGTAGTTCGTACGTCAGTTTGCGTGCGGCCAGCAGTAACGGCCTGGTTGATCAGACCTCATCCACCACGAGGCCTGGTCTCAGACCGAGCCACGGGGGCGTTGACCCCCGGAACTCTCTCCAGGTATACTCCAGGTATGGTAACATCCTATGTTGCATCAATGAATATTTCAACCCTATATATAACCAAACAAAAGGGATAACGTACTTCTTTATAAGACTGCATTTGTTATAACGACCATGTATGCTGCACGCTTCTTAGTCCAATCACTTCTGATGTAAAAAGCATCTTCAGTAAATTGCTTCTTATAAAACCAATGTCTCGAGTAATCACTAGCTATAACGACCACTCCTAGAGTGAATGCGTGTAATAACCTCTACTTGAATTTTTTTTTCTCTCTCCACACTCATCGAAATCACACCCACAATCAACTCCCACATTCCCACCATTAATTCAGACACCCACACAAATTTCACACTGTTGTCATTCACTCCTAGACCAACATACCTCACTTTTACAGCTCTTTCTCTCTCGCTTTCAATTCCACAGTTCACTTCCGCAAAGCTAAAACTCACTCTCACATGCTCATAACTTCCATTCACTCATTTACACTCGCTCCCACCTCCATAAGGATCACTAGAACCTCCTATTACAACTCGCTCCAATGTTTCAACTCACTCTTACACACATACAGCTCCCCAATTCCTCCTTTAGAAAACCTTACACCCCTAAAAACTCACTCTCACCCCTGCAGCTTCCTTCTTCTTCGCCTTCTTCTTCGCCTTCTTCTTTTTCTTGTCCTAAGTTATTCTAGCCATCAATATTTTCCTTAAGACAACTGAGACAAGTGTAACAGGAAATATGATCCAGAATCCGTAACTCCTTAGAGGTGGAAACTATTATATCTAATTTTTTCCCGAACTGGGAGGGAAGTAAAAGTTTAAATAGATCTCTGGTGGATTCTGCAGGAAACGGGGAAGCACCAGATCCATTGGGGGAATTCGAGCGCAATAATCCTCAGATAGAAAGGGTTGGCGGAGTCCCAAAATCGCATTGAGCTGGAAGTTGTACAATTCCTTTTCATTTTTAACAGTGACCAACTACTTGAAGATCCGTATATGTTTTGCGAGTATCTCGTGTGTTTGTGTGTGTGTGTGTGTGTGTGTGTGTGTGTGTGTGTGTGTGTGTGTGTGTGTGTGTGTGTGTGTGTGTGTGTGGGTGTGGGTGTGTGTATGTGTGTGTGTGTACTCACCTAGTTGTACTCACCTAGTTGAGGTTGCGGGGGTCGAGTCCGAGCTCCTGGCCCCGCCTCTTCACTGATCGCTACTAGGTCACTCTCCCTGAGCCGTGAGCTTTATCGTACCTCTGCTTAAAGCTATGTATGGATCCTGCCTCCACTACATCGCTTCCCAAACTATTCCACTTACTGACTACTCTGTGGCTGAAGAAATACTTCCTAACATCCCTGTGATTCATCTGTGTCTTTAGCTTCCAACTGTGTCCCCTTGTTACTGTGTCCAATCTCTGGAACATCCTGTTTTTGTCCACCTTGTCAATTCCTCTCAGTATTTTGTATGTCGTTATCATGTCCCCCCTATCTCTCCTGTCCTCCAGTGTCGTCAGGTTGATTTCCCTTAACCTCTCCTCGTAGGACATACCTCTTAGCTCTGGGACTAGTCTTGTTGCAAACCTTTGTGTGTGTGTGTGTGTGTGCGTGTGTGTGTGTGTGTGTGTGTGTGTGTGTGTGTGTGTGTGTGTGTGTGTGTGTGAGTGTTGTGTGTGTGTACTCACCTATTTGTACTCACCTATTTGTGGTTGCAGGGGGTCGAGTCTTAGCTCCTGGCCCCGCCTCTTCACCGGTTGCTACTGGGCCCTCTCTCTCCCCGCTCCATGAGCTTAATCAAACCTCGTCTTAAAACTGTGTATGGTTCCAGCCTCCACTACGTCATTTTCTAGGCTATTCCACTGCCTTACAACTCTATGACTGAAGAAATACTTCCTAATATCTCTCTGACTCATTTGTGTCTTCAACTTCCAATTGTGGCCTCTTGTTTCTGTGTCCCCTCCCTGGAACATCCTGTCTTTGTCCAGCTTGTCTATTCCACGCAGTATTTTATATGTCGTTATCATGTCTCTCCTGACCCTCCTGTCCTCCAGTGTCGTCAGGTCGATTTCCCTTAATCTTTCTTCATAGGACATTCCCCTTAGCTCCGGAACTAACCTTGTGGCAAACCTTTGTACTTTCTCTAGTTTCTTGACGTGCTTTATCAAGTGCGGGTTCCAAACAGGTGCTGCATACTCCAGTATGGGCCTGACATACACGGTGTACAGTGTCTTGAACGATTCCTTACTAAGGTATCGGAATGCTGTTCTCAGGTTTGCCAGGCGCCCATATGCTGCAGCAGTTATCTGATTGATGTGTGCTTCCGGAGACATGCTCGGTGTTATACTCACCCCAAGATCTTTCTCCTTGAGTGTGTGTGTGTGTGTGTGTGTGTGTGTGTGTGTGTGTGTGTGTGTGTGTGTGTATCTATGAATGGGTGCTCACCTTGTTTACTAGGTTATCTGTGTTTTAAGAGAGGGACTGTCGAGTCATATCAACTATCCCTCACGTTTTAGCTCCTAATGACCAACTTTCCTCATTTCTGTTATCCAGAATTCTATCATTCTCACTCTTGTAACAGTGGATGTGAGCTCCGCTACCTCTTCATACAGTTCGGTTTTCGTATTCATTTCATTACCTAACGTCCCTATGGCAAAAAAACATAAAAACTCATACACACACAAATACACACACACACACACACACACACACACACACACACACACACACACACACACACACACACACACACACACACACACACACACACACACACACAAATAAATCTCTCTCTCTCCAAAATTGCCTCTAACTCCAAGAGCAAATTAACTTGAAATAAATTACACGGACCATGTGAGTCAAAATCCAATTTAGTATTCTTTATCTGCGTCTAAGGACCTCAGAAGACATAACTAAGGCGACCCAGAACCAAGATTACGGTTCCTTCTCCCTCCGGACACCAGCTCCAGAGACAAAATCACAAGACTCACCTCAGGTGTAGTCATAAATTCTGGACAGAGTTCTGTTATGATATTCAAAGTTTAACCCTAGAGGCGGTGTTGTGGCAACTTATAACTGGTAACTTTTTCAATAGTTAAATGCATTTTGTGGAGTGGGAGCAGTAGAGGGCTTCTTGTGTGTGTGTGTGTATGTGTGTGTGTGTGTGTGTGTGTGTGTGTGT